GGCTGTCTGTTTGTTTTGAATGGTCTTTGGAAGTTTCGTTTTGCAGATGACTTGAAATTGGGCCTACGGTTTGTTATATGTGTTCCCCATTTGAAAGATATTGGTTTGTCTTCAAACTTATGTATTAGGCTCCAAAACTGATAAGCATGTCCATTTTCTTTAAATGACAGCTGCACCCTCCCCCTCCACATTTCAGGCTTTATAGGATATATACATGAACAATGTATATACATTAAGGGATCCCAATCTTTACCCAGAATGTCCAAGATATCCCGTGTTACATCAGTGTTGGTTTTCCATGTATTATTGGACCTCTTTAGAGGCCAGTTGTATATAGTAATATGACTCACAGTGTTAGTTGGTGAGACTGAAGACTGTGGCTTCTCTGTTCCGGAGTCTGCTTCCGTGGGAAGTCGAAGGTAGGTATTGTCCGGCAGTATGTTGTCCCTATCTGTACGGGCTGTAAATGAGGACTGTGGGCCATTTACGTCGGGGACAACATCTTGCCATTCATCGATTACTATGAAGTCTGCAGTTGAGAGGGTTGAGTTCAGGTCCTCAGCAGCTTTACTTGCGTTGCAACACTCGGCCTGAGTTTCTAGAACCTTTTCATAATTTGCAGCCAACACTATGTCCACCAACCGCTGTATAAGATGCTGATCTTTTTGAGTTAGGCAGGGATTGTTCTTGCTTGTTTCTAGTGTATGAATCTCACTACCTGGTTGGTGGAAGTTTGAGTCTGGGTTGGGAAATGTCCGGGGGGGTGCTGCTGTCAGAATTCCCGTTTCTATCAGGGTGGCTATGAGTTGGAGAGTTGCTTTCAGGTCGAATATTTCTTGATGAAGAGCATGTAGCTTATCGAAGATGCTTTGAGTTGATTTTGCGGATAGGAAGCATTGGTCACGCAACTGATTGTAGATAATTTTAATGTCTTCATTATCAAGCCCATAAGATTTGTCAATTTGTTCTTCTGTGGATATATTCTTTGGATTGGTGTTTAATAAATTTGGATTTTTCTTAGGGAGGTCCATTGATAGAATTGATGACCTTTCCTGCAATCCTGGGTCCACTGACCAATTACCAATCAAGTAGCCAGAGAGGTCTTCAGCCACATCATTTCTTTGGGGATCTCTGATGGTCGCATTCAAATCTTGATTGTCTAAGTTAGATGGAGTACTTGAAACAAATTCCCTTGGGAACCTTTGCCCAGCGGAGCTGGAAAAGTCTTGTTGGCTGATGGAGGTTAAAGGCACGCAGAAGTCTACTATAGCTCTTTGGCTTTTACTTCTGGGAGCATTGTTACTTCCAGCACGAGCTTTCTGGGCTCTAGTAATGACCATTGGAGGTGTTTATCCGTGCTGTTGAAATACAGCTGCAACCAGGAAAGTTAGAGCCGTCTGCAAAACTTAGTACAAGTCCTAGTGTGGTTTCTTTATTACCTTGCCTTCTGTGATGTCTCCTTATCAGATAGCTTAGGCAACTCCCAATATTCGACTTCCAGTCTATTTAAACAACTCACAGTATTGCAGCGTAGTTCCTGCACGGCCTTGAATTTTCCTTGAAAGAGTCTCAGTCCTTTCCAAACATTGTGTTGCTGATAAACTCCTCCGGGAGACTCAACGCTTCTTGCTCTCTTTGGCTCCAGCCACCACCGGTAAGCAAAGTTCTTTTATTAAAACAACTTGAGCAGTTGAATACTTTGTAAGTATTAAAAATAAAGATTAAAAAGGGAACAGAGCTTGATACCAACGCTGTTCCTGATACCAACGCTGTTCCTTGCTCTGTTTTAATAAAATTATTATTAGTGGTTCTGCAAAATACCAGTACATAACAGTTCTGACTTTCTGATCTTGCATAAATTCTTGCACTATTAAAATTATGTGAACAGATACAAACTCCACCTGTTCTAATACTGCAAAAAAACTGCTGCACAAACTCTTTTGCAGCTTCTTTAATAGCAATAACTGCCATAAGTTTTTCTTCTACTCCTTGTTCTCCTTTGGACAAACACAGTATCTTTCAGGAATGAGAGTGATAACTAAGATCTAGTAAAGAAATCAGGTATTTTCCAGGATCCAGCTGGGGATTTATAAAAGAAAACAAAGTAGCAAATTTGTTCTTGGTTGGTTCAGAAGATCTGTTTGGCTTTGCTTGCCTTCCTCCAATAAAGTACAGTACAGTATAACAGAACTGCTGGGTAGCGCAGTAGCTTAGGTCTAGAGGTTGGGAGTTTAATTCCCCACTGTGTCTCCTTGAGAGGGACTGCGCTCAACAGTCCATAGGGTCTCTTGCAGCTCTGCAGCTCAAGGGTTATTATTCTGTCCCATAGCAAATTGCTGAGAAATCCAATAAGGACTACCTGATTACCAAATGAGTTTTTGTCCTCCCTGTAATATTTATGTGACTTCATACTGTTATGAGTTTTTTACAAGTCCTTTCTCATGCACTTAGAAGAATTTACAAGAAAATAAAGGTGGAAAAGCACTCAAAAGATTACAGGTGTTCAAGAAACATTGAAATCTTTCAATGCAACTAATTCTGCAACAGCTTTGTTTTTAGCATACAATCCTTTCATCTTTAGCACAGTGCAAGAGTTAAAAGCATATGGAGTAACATTAATACATTAACATTAATACTTCTTTCAGTGATTTTTAAAGCATGCTTACCTTCATCACTTATTGCCTGCTGTTTAACTACGGTCATAGGTGATCTGGCAGGAGGCGTACTTAGTGGATGACGCCAGCTTTTTGATGTTTTCATTCTTTCTCCTTCTGTCACCTAAGGAAACAACATATGTTTAGTTTAAGATAGACCAAAAATGCCCAGAAGTGGTGGCTTCTGTTCTAGGAGGATACTCATGTGGGCATGGTATGCTAAAAGAGGGAAGCAAGAGCATACAAATTCCGTTATCTAGTTAATGCTTGGTTTTATAATACTTAACTTATACATCTTTTATTATGAAGATGGCAATTGGTCACTGGCATTTTGACCTTGGTTATTTAGGTGGGATTAAGGTGGGGGTGGTAAGGACGACAGTATTAAAATGACTAGAAAACAGTAAATATCCTCAAAAGCTTAAAATGTCAATGAAATCTAGTCCTCCAGAGAAAATAATAGAAATGGCAGATGAATGTTGTTTTATAAATAAAAGGCTCAGCAGTAAAAATGCAAGCTGACAGTTCTGAATATTGCCTAACTCCCACCCCACCCCTAATTTCATTTAGAGTTTCATTTTCTAAAGAAAGCTTTAATGGAATTATATTTAACATCAGAGATACCAGAATGCAGCAAAGTAGTAAATGGTTCCCAGATTCTGGGTCTGCTGAGATGGTGGAGATCTGTGTGGAAATGCCCAGCTCTATCTTGCCCTTTCATAATGGTAAAGGATTAGAGAAATCAGTTCTCAGGTCAAGGCAAGGGCAGTAAACACTGTTTCATTGTTATGTTAGCTGAAACAATATTTTTACTAGTCACATTTTCAGGATGATCTCCTTCAGGATGAAGCCCAAATCTAAGTGCAACTTTATTCAGTGAAAGCCAGAATTTCCATAACTATAGCAAATGTCTTCATTACCACTTTCTCTAGCTTCTGAGATTTTGCGTATTTGTTCATAGTGAATGCTGTTCACTATACAGGATAGACGAATACCAATGAACATTAGCTAGCAATTTAAATATTTTATTCAAAATTCTATGGTATTTATGAAGCCTGGAATTCAGGAGACTGACACTGCCTGCTAGGGAGCAGGATACTGTTTTAGTACCTTGCAGCCATCACATGTTTCCTGAGACAGCCAGAATTGGCCATTGAAGAAAGTAGGACATGGACCTAGAAGATCATTAGTCTAATGTTGTACAGCTGCTTCTCTGATTAACGAATGCTGTGGTTTCATTAAGCAAGGCAAGATAACTGTACAGAAGGGCAAAGAGGCAGCATTTTCCAATCCAATAGCATCTCTATAAAATGCTTCTGTACAAGTGTAAGACAGACATAGCAGACAAACATTTTGGAAAATATCTGAAAGCCCACTTAGTAATAGCAAAAAGAAAAAAAGAAAAAGAAAATAAAAAAGGCTCAGGCTAATTAATTAAACACAACCTGTAGTGCAGAATCTAACCACTGCATGTTGTATTAAAACAGAAGGACTGGCTTTGGGACCATTAAATCTCATCTCTTGGTGAAACAATGATGAGTTTGCTATTTATGTCGGTAAAGGGTAACTGCTGCTTTAGTCTTAGTTCTAAAATATGTTTCCAACTTTCCTAGGAACATCTGGCAATCCACTGCAGGCTACTTTCTACTGGTGCCAAAAACAAATCCAGCCTCTAAATTTGTGGACACAGCTATGCTGTGTCTTTCTCAAGGCACATTCATAAGAATATTTACAATCAAAGAGTCAAAAACTGGATGTTTTATAGGACAAAACATGGTAGGAATAACAGTTTCATGTAATGTGATTGCTAACATGGTGAGCTGCAAAGTCAACAGCTCAAAATCTCACTTAAACCACAAGCTCATTATGTGGCCTTCGTGGAGGGTCCATTCAATTGACCTTTCAAAACCTTGCAACGGCAATATGGGGTTATAATGCTGACTGACCTTGCAGAGTTGCTGTAAATGTCACTGAGATAATTTATAATAAAAATAGTTAATAGTGCGCAGTCCATGAAATGCTAAGTACTATTATTATGAATTAATTTAATTCCTGTGACTTAGTAATGAGATTCCAATCAATTCAAAACAATGTATTCATGGATAATAGCTAACCTCTCCTAACAGGAAGATTTTATTAAACGATCATGTTGTTATTGCTAAATACATGGCTTTTCTTTCAGGTGTATATAACAAATTTGATTCAGAAAGTTATTGAATGGGTGGAATAAAATAAAATGGAAATAACATTATGAACCTAAGTTTGAAGTAAATAAAATAAAAAAATATTTATAAGTAATAGTGGAATGATGTCAGAAATTGTGCAACTATTTCCAGGGACATTTAAACTCTGAATATGCTTAAAGAAACAAACAATTCATTTACATTTCCCCTTTCTTACTAGTGGTATTTCTCCAGGTTCCAAGCCATTTTCACTACTTTCAGCATCACTGCTATCATTTTCTTCTGCAGTTACACTGGTGGTTTCTTCTTTCTCCTTACTCTCAGCTTCAGAAGAAGTTTTAAAATTTTCTTCCAGATTACAACTAGCAGATGAAAGTAAAGCCAGTGCAGATTCCTGAGAGCAAAAATGCAAAAACCGAGGGTTTCCTTTCTCATTTTGAGATTGTATTTTCCCGACTGGTAAACTACGACTAAGAGGTGAGCTTGAAGAGTTTTGACCTAAAAAGAGAAAAGTTCAGCATGAAGGCAATACAGGTATTAAATGTTTTTTATCATGAAATAGCAAAGGTTGCTTTGCACACACTTTCAGCTTTTAACCAGGGGGAAAAAAAATGTTTAGATTTAAAATCCATTAAATGTTTCTGATGTTACACACCATTCATGCATTTCAAAGAAAAGCAGGTCTGAAATACTGGCAGCATTTGGTCCATAGTAACCTGTAGCTTTTCTCAAGCTAAATCAGGGACCATTCCCAGTACAACATATGTAGATTTTCAAGGAAATATTGGAACCGTGTGTCCATGGGGTTACAAACATTTGGGTGGGATTCAGCACTGTATTCTGCTGAAAAATTGCTTCTGAGGAAGGACAAAGGGAATCTTCCTTCTCTGTGTACCTGATTAAACTTTCAAAACCTGCTCAGAGGAACTAAGCAGCAATCTGAACAAATTTTTCAACTAGTGAAGAGATTTGCAAGGGGGAGAATAAGAAAGTGCTATTGCATCCAGAGCTCTGAATTCTATTGTGGCGTTCACCCCTATTATGTTAAATGTCATGCATTATTCATTTTTATGCTGATGTGGTTGATAGGTGGGGCCACTAGAGAGGTTAAAAGGCGGAGCCAGAGAGGAGTAGTTTATAGTTTACAGTCTGAGTTTGAAGGGAGAGAGAGAGAGAGTTAGTTTGGGAAATCTGAGGATTAGTCTGAGGAGTGAATAGTAACCTGTAAGATAGTATAGAAGATTGTTACAGATGATTGATTAAGCTGAAGAAGATACTTATAAATTATTATAGAAACATTTGTAATCAATAAACCTGTTTTATTCAAAAGACAGTGATGAATGGACCTTCATCTTTCCCAAGAAAAGTATGTTGATAAAGAAATCAACTGGTGGCAGCATGTGAAAAGGTGGGGTTTTTTTTGTTTGCCTTTGTGATCTCTCTGTTTTGGGGAGACAAACAGGGGCCACAAAGGGGCAAACCCTGAGTCTGGTGTCCAACGGCGGGATACGAAGCAATCCAGTAAAGCCTGAGTTTAAAGTGAATTTTTTTGAGTCAAGGGTACCTTTTAGACAGAAGTCTGTGGTGAAGAAATAGGTTACCTGCTAGAGCTTTTGGGAAAAGTGTAGTGGTGGGGCTTCTGAATCCAGATCTGGGGGACTAAGATAGGGAATGACTCTGAAGAAAACAATTCCTGTTTTTACAGGAATTTGAGGATTTGAGAGGCCTAGTGGCTAGCTTAAGATCCAAGGTTCTGAGAGAAGGAAGCGCTAGTGGATAAAAGCATGAGCCAGGTGTCAGAACAGATCTGAGGGAATAGAAGAAAAAGCAGAGGCCTCAAATAGAAATCTATTTCAGTGACTGGAATTAGGAGAAAGACGGGTCCTTTTAAAAATCAGTATAAACACAGTCAACACTAAGTAACTCAGATAAATATGCCATCCAAACGTAGCCAAAAGGGGAGACCTGAGTCTGAGGTTTTATCTCAAGAAATGGAGGGAAACTGAGATCCTTTAGCTCCAGTGGAATAGGAGGAGACTCATGAGACTGCCTCAGAGGGACAAAGGGATCTAAGCTCCCAGGAATTTGAAAAATGGAAAAAGAACAAGAAATCAAATTGAAGGAACTAAAAATTAAAGGAAAAGCCAGAGCTGAGGAGCTAACTATGAAAACCCAATTAGAATTGGAAAAAGCCAGAGCTGAGGAGACAGCTAGAGATGAGAGAAAACACTGATACTGTACGTTGATAAAGAAATCAACTGGTGGCAGCGTGTGAAAAGGTGTTTTTTCGGTTTGCCTTCGTGAGCCCTCTGTTTTGGGGAGACAAACAGGGGCCACAAAGGGGCAAACGTCACAGCTATGTTTTAAAGGAACATTATTTTATTAGTCATTACTTCTCACCACTCATGTTGCTGTTATCATTATCATTGTTCCAATCAAACAAGGAATTTGTTGCATCATGCATTAGCAGCTCATCAAGCAGCTCTTCAGAAGGACAAAAATGTAGGGCATGACATACCTGAACAATTTCCATCAAATTTGTACAATGCTCATAAAAAGTAACTTTGGAATTAACTGGGTATTTCTAGAACCAGAGAACCATCCTTAAAAGACATACACATTTTCCTCATCATGCCATGATCTGAACGTATGCAGCCTAGGTATGGAAATCGTATGTCAGAGCCAGTGCTCACTAGCTGCTGTTATTCTCAAACAAAGATAGACCCTTCACAATCACTGAATGGACTATAAAACACATTGGGAATTACTGTTTACAGATACTTTCTGCCTCTTACAACGCCAAATCTTAGTGCAGATGCATAACACATGGGATCTACCAGAGATATCCTAGAGACAAGACTGCTTCAATCAGTGAAATGAAGAGATTCCTTTCCTCCTGTGAACTCCAAATCTCCGAATAATCTCTCCCAGTGGCCTCATGTGGATGTTAAACAGCAAAGGGGAGATCATCAACCCCTGGGGAACACCACATTGTAGTGTCCACGGGGACAAAACAGCTTCTCCAAGCTGAACTCATGGCATCAGCCATGAGGAAGGAATGGAACCAGCATAATGCTAGACCTCCAATCCCAATCTCGATAACTGAGCCAGGAGGATATTGTGGTTGACAGTATCAAAGGTGGTTGAAAGGTCTAGGAGTATCAACAGGGTCACACTCCCCCAGTCAGCCTCCCATAATAGATCATCTAGCAGGGTGACCAGAAGTGTCTCAGTCCCATGATGCAGCCTGAACCCCAACTGGAATGGATCCAGACTATCGGTATCCTCCAAGAATGCTTGCAGAACGTTTTGTAAAGCAAGCATGGCAAGTGGCTGCAATCGGGAAGGAAAAGGAAGAATACTAGTGTGTGATGTTAAATATATACGTAGACATTATAATCTGCAACAGCTTTGCAGATGGAGGGAAAAACTGAGGAAGAATGTTGTCCTTTTCAATCTTGATAAAATGAGATGAACTCTCTTTGCAATAAGAAACAAACAGATGTAGTTACTATAGAAGTAAAAGTTGAATTATATAGGAGCATGTTTGCATGGTAACTGAGAAACTGATCGATGTAAAATTTGGATGGCTTGATAGTTCTTTTAAGAGTTCAGGTTTAAAAAAATCATTTTATATTTTAGTTTATTGCTTTTTTAAAATACCGTGTTACCAACATTTGAACCCTAAAAAAACAAAAGTAAAGGGGTACATGCTCAGAAAGAGATCGCCGGACGTTGTCTGGGCACCAGCTCTACCTATTTTAGTACAGCTATTACAACTCTAGCAATTTTTAGTACTGACACATATTAGCAGACAACTGGTACGTACCCATTTTAGAACTCTTTAAATCTCAGTGTCTGTGTAATAGCACTTCAACTATCTCAGAGGTGTTATGGAGCAACACAGAATGTAGCTTCTCACTTGCAGATTTATGGCATCACAACATGAACTGCCTGTGAAATCTTTGGGAAATAAATATCATTCATCTCACCTGAGACCTTTTTGTTATCCAATAAATTCTGATCTATCTGCATCCTGCTTGTGTCTTGTTCTTCCCCAGAAGGCACTCCTGTGTTTACTGGCTTTACTTTTTCTGATGGCTTTTCTTTGACCTTGAAGCTATCTGTAGCTGCTTCAGTGGCTGTGATTTCTGCACCAACCACTATGGTTGATACCTTCTTGTCCTCTGGAGTTTTAAGCTTTTTTGATCGTGATCGGGTATGCTGGAAGCTATTATAAGAGATACTGTTGTCAGAACAGAAAGTCTGGCTAGAGTAAGATAAAATATCTACCAATATAAATATCCATTTTGCCTGCTTAAATGAATTTTAAAAACCTGATAATTTATCACCTTTTTGTGCTAACGGGGAGTTTACAATTTATTAAGAAACAAATTAACAATTGGTTGAATTAAACCTTTTTTATCTGTCATTATAGTTCCAAAAACCTAGTTATTCAATTAAAATAAGCTGAAGTAACTTTTGTAATGTAATGCACTTATGATACTTTTTGTCACATTCTGAAGAATATTTCATTATGTAACTGATTTTGAAATTTGCTTCAGAAGTTTCGCAGTTTTATTAACCTGTGATAATGTTCAAATCCCAAAGTATATAAAACAGTTTGATTGATTACACTTTTATGACCTCACTTACCAACCAACCAGCCAGCCAGCCAGCCAGCCAGCCAACCAACCAACCATTTTCATCTGTTCTAATAGCAGTTTTAGCAATAGATATCAAAATTTGCTATAACATGAATTATAACATGTATTCACCAAATTTTAACTATTGGAAATAATATCTTAGCCATAACATTTAGCTTTAAAGATGAATCACAGAGAGGAGATAAAAAGGTAAAAGAGAACAACATTTCAAACAACACTAGAATCCTGTTCTATGTTAATCTAGTACATAAACTATGTAGTTCTCTTCACAGCACAGTATATGATGCTTCCATAGAAGGAAGAACTGCCAGCTTTCAAAGTCCTTAATGAAATAGAGGTCTATAAATGACTGCCCACAAAGAAGGTACCTACTTTGGAAGAAGATGGGCAATATGGAAAAAGAAATGCATCAGTAACTTCTGATTTGCTTCTAAGAAGCCATGCTATTACTGTACTACCACAAGAACATATGATATTCTGAAGCAGCTCTGATTCCAGAGAACTACCAGGTCAAAGAGTTCTTGAATTTTAATTTTAGAATGCTATTACTATTTCTTTAAAAGCCAGTGAATACAATAAGCACTCAAGAACATGATTTAATGCACTGATCACCTCTGGATCTGGCTCTCCCACAGGCTGAAGGGAATCATGTCTGTAATGTTAAAGCTGACAGCAGCAACCATCTGCCTAGCAGCAGTGCACAGAATCCTGGATCATAGACTGCGCTTTAAAGATCTATTAGCACAGGTGTTGAAATTCTTCAGTCTCTACTACAATCTCATACCAAAGAACTACTAACACACCTTGTTGTACAATGTGTGCAACATTATTATCACCTCAGTATTTTCTCAGTATTTTCCTTGAGTTGGCATTTCTGTACTTATGGGATCCTATTTTAAATAGGCATATTATTCCCAGAATAAAAATTATCATATTATTCTTTGACATATTACAGCAGAGGTGAAAACGAACAAACATTTTATCTTCATTTGGGGGATGTCCATCGCCTGCTGTGTTTGCACTTGTGCCAAGTCTACTAATTAAATAGCAAAAAAAAAGTCATCAGTTTAGTTTAATGAATAAATTCAGCACATGCACTCATCTGATAAAACTTTCTGCATAATTACTATAATGTCTCCCTTTTTAATTTTAACTTTTAAATTGGCTATCCAGATAAATAAGAGTTGTACTGACAAGGAAATAATTTCTCTGCCAAATGGAAATAGCAGTTGTAGAATAAAAACGCCAAACTCTATAGCAGCACAAGAACATCATTATATAATTATATGATACATATTAAAATCCAAAGGTTTTGAAGTTAAAAATGGAACTATAGAGAAAGGGACTGTCAATTGTTAGCAATTATGCATTTTTGTTTGAAGTGGAACCCCTTTGCAGCAGTTGTTTGTCTGTGGAAGGGGTTAAGACTGCACAAAAATAATAAATATTCACACAGAGAATGCCTCTGTGTGACAGGTTTGGCAGAAGTATTCCATTTGCCAAGAAAGCAGAAAAATTCAAATGAAAATTATTTGTCTGCTAGGCAACTTGTGGGCCCTCAGGGCACCAGCTCTGTTTGTCCCCCTCCTGTATTTCTGTCAGTTACCTTATTCAGCACACTTATTAGCCTTTTACAGGTGTTATGCTTGAAAGTATGTTGGATTGAAAGGATAGTGACTAGTGGGGTAGTAGTGCACATATCCCCTTCTTTAAACCACCATCTGGAAGCCACACTGATCTTCGTATATTCAGCACAACCATCTGCAGAGGCATTGTATATGCTTCTAGCATTTTCATGACTCCATGGTTTCTCAGTATTAAGAAGTACATTTAGGTAGAACTGAAAATAATGAGTTTTCTGTGGCTGTATATAAAATTTGGCACTTCCTTCCTACGGACACCTCTCTCACTTCCTCTCTAAGAGGCTTCCATCACAAGGCTGGTGTTTGATCCTCTGAAAGTTGTTGGGCTGCAACGCCCATCCACCAGAGCCAACACAGCCAGTGGTGAGACATGCTAAAAGTTGTACTGCAGCAACCTCTGAAGAACCACAAATTATCCACAACTGCTTTTAAAAAGTGTTGAGCTCTGAGATGTACAACAGAGGTCCTTCTCTCGAAGCTGCCAACTGCACAGCTTTTTAAGTAAGAATATATTACTTTCTTGGTGGCTACTCCTAGACTCTGGAACTCTCTCCCAAGGAAAAGCAGGTTAGTTTTTCTCTCTGCTATCCTCCCTGTAGCAGTCAAAGGCTTTTAGATTCAGATAGGCCTCCAGCAAATGTTGTCTGGTATGACAGGGGGTTGAAATACTATGCCAATTTCCTTTAATTTTTAATGCAAATTGTCAGCATTTATTTTAACTGAAATGTTCCTAATGTTTTTCCTAAGGTTCAATAGAAATCTGGCTTCTTGTAGCTTGAACCCGTTATTACATGTCCTGCACTCTGGGATGACTGAGAACAGATTTTGCCCCTCCTCTGTATGACAACTTTTCAGTTATTTTAAGAGTACTATCATAGTTCCATTCAGTTTTCTTTTCTCATGGCTAAACATGCTCATTTCTTTTCTCACAGGGCTTGGTTTCCAGTTCCCTGATCATCCTTGTTGACCTCCTTTAAACTTGTCCTACTTTGTCGGCATCCTTCTTAAAGTGCAGTATCAAGATAAGACCTAACCAGTGCACTTCTTTCAGTGTTGTTTTAAAATAACAGTACCATTTTTATGTTGATCTTCTTAAATGTTTGCAATGAAATGAGTACTAGAAAGCAACAGAAAAATGACACATCACTGAACTCTTTACTCTTGCTGATCTAGCGCTATTTCTATTAGTGCAAAATATCATGAATCAAATCCTTCCACCCTAAAAGCTGTGAAAACAATCACACACCTTTTTAACTGGGGTGTGAAAACAGGTTTTCCTAACAGCAAAATTGATTGAAAGTGATAGGATTTGATTTTTTTAATGTAAACTGGCGAAATTATTCCCCACTACTTATAAGGTTAACATTAACATTGGTAAGCTGCAAGAAATAAAACATTTGAGCACAAGACTAATTTCAATATATTTTTTAAAAGAAAGTACTTGCCACCAGCAGAGATGAAATACTGCTCATGCTCATTACTGTAGATTAGAATAACTTTGGCACCAGAGCAGGAGGGAATGGGCAGGCAGTGACAGTAAAAATGGCAGGACAAGAAGTGAAAATGGTGGGTTTATTGGTGGCAGAGAAGGGGAGAGAAGGGTAGTGGAATGTTTAGATAAAATGTTGCTGTTTTCATCCTCTGGGTAGATCAGGGCATGGAAATATCTTCAAATAAAAAATGTTGGATGTACGGATGTAGACAGCGCCAAACTCCTTCTCACAATCTATTGAAGGAGAAAGGAGTGAGGAGTATATGCATCTGAACACTGAAAATTGTGTTTGAAATGTCAAAGCATGTTTACTTTTCCCCAACAAGGCCAAAGTGTCCCTAGTTTTAATAACCACAACAGGCTGAATAAATTATTTATAAAAGAAAGTCTTAAACCAGCAGCTCAAGTTTAGACTTGTTCAACTTCCTTAGAAGAAAAATGTTTATTATAGGAAAAAACAAAATAATAGCTAATTCACAGTGAAACAGTGCTCTCAGAAAGATATCTGTGCTCTCAGAAAGGCATGTATACCTAGTGCCATGACCATACAAGGTTTTTATTGAATATTTTTATAGCAAAAAGGAATTGCCCCTGCTCTAACAGAATAACACATAGCAAGACTGGCATGAGAAAAGGAACAACACTTTGCAGGTTGGGGGTGAATGTCAAAGTAAATGCTGGGACCTCCATAGCCCAATAACATTAGATATAAGTGAAATGAGTTTTTGGCTTGATCAAAAAATAGAAGGTCAGGAGGTCATACATTTTGTTGATCAGAATAAAATGTATTTATTATCCCTTTGAACTTAAAAAAATATTAATTAAATCAGTACAGGATGAAGTAAAATGGTTCGCTTATCATGTAGCAAACTGGTTCTTTTGCACAATGTACAGGTTGTACACAGTAAATTGTGATTAGAGTAGGCCTTCTGAATCAATGAGCAGTTGACTCACCAAATCCCCACTGATACAGAGGCCTACCCCAGTTGCAACTTACTATAGTAAGTAACATAATTTCAGACAATTTTTCAGAACTTCCCCAGTTCTGAAATGTTGAAGAAAAAGCTCCAATGTGCTATACCATGGGCAAATATATAACAAGAACAATATTATTTGAGATTCTGGAAAAATCTGCATTGATATACAGCAGTATAGCAGTATGATGAATATAAATGTGTTATTGAGCTGTAGCATAAATCAGGTATTGGCAGTAGCTTTTCAATCTTTTGCCAACTAGGTATCTGCTTCTGCACAGCACTGTGGCCAGAGGCTACAGAAGCCCCAAGAATAAATAAGTGAAGATTAAACAGTACTTGGAAACTTTTTTTTACAATATCTATAAGTTAACATTTTGCCTAACCCAGTTTTGAGTGCCAAAACAAATCAGGATTCAGCAAGAAATTCATCACTTCATAAAATAAAAAAGACAAATAATTAATACACAGAAGTTGTTTCCTATGTTTCTGTAATGAATACTCATTAAACTTTTTTAAATGAACACATTCCTTCATTGAGTATTGCCATTATGAAATATGACTCTTGTGCCCTGAAGCTTACTGATAGGCATTAGGGAGACACAAATTAACTGTGACTAAAATAAATGAAAAAAACCTAAAATGAAATAATGGGGATAGGGCAGCAGAGATGCACTGAAAAAAGAAACTGCAGCATATTTTAACTTTCAACAATATGGAATGCAAAACACCCATTACCACCTGGAAGATCTCTTTGTTTTTCTTCTTCTCTGCAACCAGGCCTTTACCTCAGGTGTTGTTTCAGGAGTGGGCTTTGTATGATCAATTGTATATAAATCCTTCCCTTGTTTCCACAGATGGTATCTGTCTGGCTGAAATTTCTTCACAAAGATATCCATGGATATCGTTACCATGTCTTTCCTGCAGGTACACTGGGGGGGAAATAGATTGACGTGTTAAAACAAGCTTATACACAAATAGATCCAAATAAAACTATAAAAATCTACATAGTCTTCCCATTTGGAGAAGCTTCAACAGATAACATTATCAATGGAAATACTGCACTACCTGGAAGTCTGTAAAAATAACTGAAGATAATCTCTTTGTGATAAAATAATACCCAGCATTCTGATTAGCCATACACATTTTTGCAGTCACAATTAGTAAGCTTACATGCTGTCATTTGGAATTCTGATCTGTGTTTTAACTGCATAGACCACTGTAAGACTGCAGTCATTCTGTGCCAACTCTAACATGAGGAGTCAAGAAAATAAACTGCCAGTTCACATAAATATGTGCATAAACATGTACATATTTTACAATATTATATCTCATTACTACAACAATCTATTCTATTGTTTGATCTGAGATGGCTACTTCACAACTTTCTTCAAGTTATTTATTGCACATTTGAACGCTCCTGCGATTGTATAATATAGTATCTGGTGTTGCTCACATATCCAAGTACTTTTTAAAATAGTTACAAACATTAAAAAGTGACTATAAGAAGCTAAGTGTATTCAGATGTTTGGAATTAAGGAGAAGTCAGTGAATAATGTGAATTTAATCCATGGAGTTGTTGCTGTTTTTGTATTTCTACGTATATACAACACACAGAACATTTATTTATTTTTATTTGATTGATTTATTTGATTTATATCCCAATTTTTATTTGATTGATTTTTGATTTATATCCCGCCCATCTGGTCTGGTCGACCATTCAAATAATGCCAAATTATTTCTCAATCCTAAAATGGTTATCATAACTTTGAGGAATTCAGAAATTAGATACATAGTCTGAGATACAAATAGAAATAGATTAATTTATGGAATTCTCTGAGGATCAAATGCCCAACTTCCTCACTATAGGGCCAGTGACATCAAGCTATCAAATTTCAAATGTATTATTTAAATTTATTTATTTAAAATATTTTTCTCCCGCCTTTGTCACCCAAAACATTAAAATGTTACTCCTTTTAATAAGGTAACATTCTTCTCCTGTCTTCCTGCCTTCCAAATGTTTTGGACTGCAACTTCTATTCGCTCTACTAGCATGGACACTAATCAGGAATGTGGAAACTCGTAGTCCGAAACATCTGAAGGGCTCAGATAGCTCTCTGTCGCATTTCTCTCTCCCATCCACCCTACCACATACATATTAACATATCAGATTAACTTTTTGTCTAGGAAGATTTTGAATTTCAAAGTTCACCCTGCAATATTATCCAACAAAGATTTAAAGTATTCCAAATATGCAGCATTATACATTGATTATACAAACAGACAAGAAGCAGCACCAGCCCAAGATATTTTAGGTTCTGAGAAAAAGCAGCAAAACGCACACCCAACCACTCAACTCAAAGCACATTGCTATTTTGGTGCCTAAGGCAGAAAATCATATGCACATCTCCCCAACTTTTTAACAGCTGCATCAACTCTTCCTGACAGAGAGTACAAACAGAACACACTCATTATAGGAGATGCCCAGAATCCTTACACTGCTAGAATAAAAAAAAATCAAGAAGCATTCATTCAATGTACAGTGGTGCCTCGCTAGACAATTGCCCCGCGGATGAAAAACCCGCAAGATGATTGGTTTGCGATCATGTTGGTAACTCGCAAGACAGCTTCTTCTATGGCCGTGCCTCGCAAGATTTTTTTTTTGAGACCAATGATTTGCAAGACTTTTTTTTTAGACCGATACTTCGCAATACTTTTTTTTTTAGACTGATGCATAGGGAACCTCGCAAGATAATTTTATCACAAGACGACGATTTTCACCGAACAAATTAAAATAGTCTTGCGAGGCACCACTGTACAAAACATCTAATCCATAGCTCTATCAATACTTAACAAATACCTATCTATGTGCATAGTGTGCTTTTTAAAAAGAAAACTCAAATTTAATTCAGTCATGCTTGTTCAGGAAAGTCTTACTGACTTTAAGTTCAATGGTTTCCACTCCTAGGTAAAGCTAAACAGGCTTTACCTAGCCTGTTTACCTTATTATTATTTCCAAAATCAAAATGTTTCTCCTTCACCATGCATTATAATACTAATTCATGCTTCAGATTTCTGAGTGTTTTGCACACTTAAGGAGAGGACAGCAGTAGCAAAGCCAATTTTGTCAAGGGCAGGTGACAATTAGCATCATATTATAGAGAAAAGAGACGCTACAGAAGTGGCTCAAAGATAATGAAAATGTGTTTGTATCAGCATCTGATCATTTTTACAAACACTGATCAAAATCCTATTGCATAGTTAAAGCCTGTGGAGGGCAAATACCATAAACTCACAGTGATTTTCACTGCCAATTAACAAGCTCCCACTTGAATCTTCAAATGCACTGACCCACTGGACTGGAATTTCCTTCCACCTTTAAATCTCTTTAAATTCAAGGTATAGTGACAGGCAAGCATGAGAAACAATTGCTTAAGAGATAGCTTAAGAGATTACAGTATTTGCTATGAGACTTCAAATCTTCCTGCCATTTGAGAAAGGATTAATACCTAAGCCACTGTTAATTTATTGATGAAATACATTCCTTCTGAAATAATATCTAGAGGTGACAGTACTCTTCAAAAAAAGAGAAACTTTTCTAATAAACTTACAACATAAATATAACCTCTTTTTATCACTTTACTGCTATGAGGACAATACACAGAACAATGAAGAGCCATAGTTTAAAATGCAGATTTAAATTTAAAAAAACACTGAAAATATAGATATATCACTTCGCAAATTATAGCAGTTCCTATGTTAAACATAACCAATTTTAGACTTTTACTAAAATTTTATCTCAACCAAAAATGCTTGTAGAAAAATACTGTATGTCTAAGTGTTTGATTACTCAAAATAGAAAGGATGAACACTGCACATCAAGCAGAGCACACAACAGCATTTTGTGGAACATTTTCAGAAATGAACACTGTTGTATGGAATGAATATGGTACAAAATTATTATAATGTAATGCAGACAGGGACTCATAATATATACCTAAAGACAATGAGCCACACCTACAATAACATAAGTGGCCCAATAAGATTAATGGCACATACAAAAATATTGAAAAATCTACTTGGAAAGCAATAAATAACAAATATGATATAAATACAATAGTCTATACAGCATAAGTGATCTGGCAATAGTAGTCCTAGGGCAAAGTATGAAGAAACATAATAATTACTGCTCAGTGGACATCCAGGGAATGTCCCGTTCCTTATACAATCTTCTTCTGAATCTAATCCTTACACAGTGGGACTCCAGTGTGGTATAGTATATAGAGAAAAAGACTGGGCTCAGAAGAACTATAAACGTGGTATATTACCTGTATGGTCACTGTTCATCTACTGGAGTGCACCAAAGAATTTCAGACCAGCCTATACTTTATATCCTACATGAAAAGCTATGGGTTGTTCTGAAAGAAGGTGTAACTCAGCACTAGAGATGGGGGAACTGTTTTCGTCCATGAAGACGAATCCCACCATCACAGGTGGCCGGCCCAATTACCTCCCGTCAGTACATTTACTGCACGGCACACAGTGTGCATGGCTGGCATCATCACAGTGTGCATTGCCCCGCCAGGAGAGAAACAGTGGCTTCCCATAGGCAAAGGTGTCAGACAAGGATACATTTTATCTCTTTATCTGTTCAACCTGTATGCAGAACATACCATACAGAAAACTGGATTAGATTCAGTTGAAGGAGAAGCGAAAACTGGTGGAAGAAATAGTAATAATTTAAGATATGCATATGACATCATCTTATTGGCAGAAAGAAGCAATGGCTTGACAACTTTAGTGAAAGTGAACTAAGGAAGTGCCAAAGCAGAATTGCAATTGAACACTAAGAAGACAAAAATAATTTACTACAGAAGAACTGTAGTCAAAATTATTGACTACAGAAGAACAGTATAAAAGTAATAAAAAATCCTGAACTGCAAGGAGAACAAACCTATCAATTTTGAAGGAAATCACCCCTGAGTACTCACTGGAAGGACAGATCCTGAAGCTGAGGCTCCAATACTTTGGCCATCTCATCAGAAGAGAAAACTCCTTGAAAAGACCGTGATGTTGGGAAAGTGTGAAGGCAAAAGGAGAAGGGGAGGACAGAGGACGAGATGGTTGGACAGCGTCATCGAAGTGACCAACATGAATTTGACCCAACTCTGGGAGGCAGTGGAAGACAGGAGGGCCTGGTGTGCTCTGGTCCATGGGGTCACGAAGAGTTGGACACGACTAAACGACTAAACAACAACAACAGAGGAACTACACAGAATTAACGTTGACAATGAAGAAATGGGTATTGTTAAAGCTTTTGTATACATTGCCCAAATCATCAGTTCAAATGGAAACTGCAACAGACTCACAAGACTGTGACTTGGAAGGGCAGCAATGAAGAAATTAGAAAAGAGAATGTAAGGATGTGTCACTAGAGACCAAGGTCAAGAAAACCCACACTATTGTATATCCAATTACTGTGTGAAAACTGTGACAGTGAAGAAAGCTGAAGGGAAAAACGGATTCATTTGAAACACTGTGCTGGAGGAGAGCTTTCTGGACTACCAGAAAAACGAACAGGCGGGTCCTAAAGCAAATTAAACCTGAACTATCCCTGAAGGCAAAAATGTTGAAACTTATGCTGCTCTACTTTGGGCACAACATTAAAATGCAAGATTCAATGGAAAAGACAATAAAAGTTGAAGGCAGGAGGAAGGAGGAAGAACAAATATGAGATGGATTGAGTCCATCAAGGAACTCGCAGGCTTGAGTTTATAAGAGCTGAGCAGGATTGCTGATGACAGGACATTTTGGAGAGTGGTTATTTTTAGTGCCACTGTAAGTCAGAGGCAAACTGACAGCAAATAACAGCAACACTGTTCATCAACTTCTGTACTCATACTAACTTTGCCCTGGGATTGTATACAGATTA